CCAAAATGTTCAAGTTTTGATAGTGGCGAGAAAAACATCATCGCTTTCAGCGGAAAGGATGATATTCTTTCTAACTTCTATCCTTGTGATATCAACATCTTTGGAATATCGCATGCTTCTGCCGAGCATGCCTTCCAGTACAGTAAGGCTATGCGGTCTGGAGACGTCGTCAATGCCTCCGCTGTGCGTAATGCCACCACCGCTTTAGAGGCTAAACGTATCGGAGCAAAGGTAACCACATCTGATGATTGGCTGCTTCAGCGTGACGACGTGATGAAGGAGATCCTGGAGGCAAAATTCGATCAAGTGCTGGAATTCAAAGATAGCGTCCTTAAATCCAGTGATTCAACCCTATTCGTAGAAGCGGCATATGATGATTACTGGGGATCTGGGCTTGACAAACGTGGCACCAACAACTCTTCTGTCACTTCCTGGCCGGGGAAAAACGTCATGGGACGCATTGTTACCAGCATTGCCAGATCAAAACGTGAGCGCGCCTTGCCTCAACGCAACCAGCCATCTCGACGCGGCAGATCAGGTAGTGTGACAAAATAACTATCAAGATAACTTCTCCAGAATCTCCACATCCTTTCAGTTAGTTACTGAAAGTTTGCATGAATGTTTTAAATGTATATTCATTAAACTGTAGAGGCCTTAACTCTACAGAAAAAAGAACTAAATTATATACTTGGTTATCTGACATAAAAGCTGATGTTATATTATTACAGGAAACACATTTCATTGAAAAAAATGAGGCATGCTATAATGCAAGCTGTTTTGGTACTAGTATACACAACTTTTCTGACTCACAGTATAGTAGAGGAACTTCAGTATTATTTAGAAAAGGTTTAAATTTTCAAATATTAGATATTCATAAGTCTTTTGATGGAAGAATGATTCTTATTAACTTGATTTTGGAAGAAAAAACGCTTACAATAATAAATATATATGCACCAAACAATCAAGCAGAACGAAAGTCCTTTTTTGATAAAATCAATAAAAGGATAGCCAAACATTCTTGTAATAGTGACAACATTATTTTAGCAGGGGATTTTAATTGTAATTTAGAGAAGACTGACGATCCTAGTATTAAAAATTTCAAAAAAATATTAAACAACAATAATTTGAAAGACCTTTGGCGCGACTTAAGGTCACATGATCTAGGATATACTTGGTGCAATGGGGCAAACGTACCTACAAGCAGAATTGATTATTTTCTTATATCAGAATCTCTAATATTTCCAGTCGAATATATAATCCTCCGAGAAGTACCTGGGTTACATTCAGGGGGAACAAGAATGTCAGATCACAAATGTATTAAGGTTAACTTTGACATTGATTTGAATATAAGAGGTCCCGGATATTGGAAATTTAATGCCTCACTTCTACAAGATAATATTTTTGTAAAAGAAACGAAAAAAATTATCAAAGATTTTAAATCAAACGATAATGCTCAAGCATCTTGGGAGGCATTAAAAATTAAAATAAAAGATTATTCTATCAAATATAGTAAAACTATTAGTAAATCATGCAAACGTCAAATCATTCATCTAGAAAATGAAATAGCAACTATGGAGAAATCAAATTCAAATGATATCGATATGAATAGAAAAAGAAAATTAGAATCCGAACTAAAAGAACTTATTAATAAAAAAGCCAAGGGTGCCCAAATTAGATCTCGTGCGAAGTGGATAGATGAAGGAGAAACAAACTCCTCATTTTTCCTTAAACTTGAATCAACTCGTCAAAATAATAATACTATAAAGCGTATAAAAAATGGTGACCATATAACTACCAATAGTAGCGATATCTTAGGGGAAATGTGTGATTTTTATATTAAATTGTATAAATCATCAAATATTGATAATAACGAAATCAAAACTTATTTGGAAGCAACTAACATAATTCGGGTAGTTAATGATAAACAGAAAATAGAATTAGATGAATTTCCGACAATGAATGAATGTGATGAAGCGGTTGAAATGTTGAAATCCAATAAATCTCCAGGCCTGGATGGGTTACCAGGTGAATTTTATCAAACGTTCAGGAATGAACTAAAGCCGCATTTTTACAATAATTTAATATATACCTTTGACAATAAATGTATGACTTTCTCCCAACGTCTATCTTTAATTACGCTTATCCATAAAAAGGGGGATAAATCAGACCTAGCAAATTATCGACCAATAAGTCTCACAAATACTGATTATAAGATATTAGCGATTATACTAGCTAATAGACTTCAAAAAGTAATAGACCTACTAATTAGTAAACATCAGTCTGCATACATAAAAGGAAGATATATAGGAACAAATGCAAGAACAATTTTAGATATATTTGAATATTGTGAAAATAAAAATTACGATGGAATTTTACTTTTCTTAGATTTCCAGAAAGCCTTTGATTCCGTAGAGTGGAATTTCATTTTTGAAACCCTGAAACGTTTTAACTTCGGGGAAAATTTTCTTCAGTGGATTTCAATTTTGTATAAAGAACCAATTTTTAAACTTAAAAATTATGGATGGGTATCTAAAACGTGTAAAATGGAAAGGGGCATAAGACAAGGATGTCCTATTTCTTCGATGATCTTCCCATTTGTGGCAGAAATTTTATCAATAAAGATAATGTCTGACAATCAAATTATTGGATTTAAAACTCCTAAGATGTCAACTGATATTAAAATGATACAACACGCTGATGATGCTACATTAGCACTCCGCGATAAAGAATCATTTAAACAAGCAATTACATGTATAAATAACTTTGGAGATATATCTGGGTTAACTCTTAATATTAGCAAAACTGAATGCATGTTATTAGGCAATCTGAAGGATACAGATCATAATATATATGGGATAAAGGTTAACAAAGAATGTATTAAGGTTTTAGGAATTCACGTAGGTCATGATATAGAGAAATGTATAGAGAAAAATTGGGGAAATAGAATTAAAGAGCTCGAAAGACTTTTTGAATCATGGAAAAAAAGAAAATTGACTATATTTGGAAAAACTTGCATCATTAACAACCTTGCTGTATCTAGATTAATTTACAACCTCTCACTCTTGCCATGCCCTAGTGCTGACATTATGAAAAACATAAATAAAATTATTTTTAACTTTATTTGGAATAAGAGAGACAGAATAAAACGAAAAACTTTAATAGGAAACGTAGAGCAGGGTGGTATAGGAGTTGTGGATTTAGAGTCTAAAGCGAAAGCAATTAAATGTGCTTGGATTCCCAAGTTGATATCTAACGAAAACAACAATATTAAAAGCTTTCTAGAGAACTTTAATTTAAGAAAACAAGATATTATCTATATGTTACACACTAATGAATTAGCAATAAACAATCACAATATACTTAAGCGTCTTCCGATGTTTTATAGAGAAATTTTTGAAGCCTTTAATGAATCTAAGAGCTCAATAGAAATAAGTAAAATGACTACACCAGATTTTTTGAAACAATCTATATGGGGAAACAAGATTTTATTACAAAAATAAGGTACTTTTCTTCGAAAACTGGTATGACGCTGGAATTTTATATGTAAAGGAGACTGTGGATGAAAATGGTGTAAGGCCACTTGAATACTTTTCAAATTTACTTGTTAAAAAAAATAATTTATATTGTGAATACTTGACATTAAAGAATATTTTTCAGAAATACATGAAGCAGTTCGATCTCAGCTTATCAAAATTTACAAATATCAGAAATACGTACTATTTCCTTTTTAATGATAATCAATATCACTGCATTAAAGACAATAAATGCAAGTTCTACTATGAGATTTTTAAAAAACAAAAAATTTGTAAAGCCATGCTACATCAATAAATACCAAAAAGGATTCGGTATCCAAAGTCAATATTTTTCTACAATATATTTTTCCAAAATTGTCAAAGCCTTTGACAAAAAAATTTCTGATTTTAACTACAGAATTCTAAATAATCTTCTTAGAAGTTACCTAAGCAAATGGAATGACATATCTAATCTGTGTCCATATTGTAAGGAAAGTGTTGAAACAAACAAGCACTTAATATACGAATGTCAAAATGTTCAAAGAATATGGAATACTGTCAGTGAAATTTTAAAATTTAATATATCATGGAAACTCATAGTTGTAGGATTTTACAATGAAGTTACCGAAAAAAAACTATTATTAAATAATCTTATATCATTTATAGCCCTTAGAATCTATAAATACAAAATGATGTGTAGACTAGAAGAATTAGCTGAATCCCCATCAGCAATTCTTTGTCATGTTAAAAAATCCTTAAGTATGTTTTATTGTGCTCTTAAAAGATCAAAATATAAGAATTGGAAAATAGATATATTTAAAAAAATTGAAGAAAGTTTGTGATACAAATTATATAATTGATCAATTTCTATGCATGTACATATGAATATATGTTTATTATTTATAAGATGTGTTTATGTTATATAATAATTTATGTTTTATAAACTACAATATTTAAAGTCTGAAAAAAAAAATTGATACCATCTTTTCATCCAAAGGTGACCTGGCCTTTGGAGTGTATAAACGTAGGGGGACTTTTGGACTTGATACGTTGGTGCCCCCTACGAATATTTTTCGTAAAATTGCTGTAGTTTCGTATATATAAATTACTTAAAACAAATACGAAATATGAATGAAATTTTCTTTTGTACTCATAAAATGTGAACTTGAATATTTTTTTGTAAAATTGCTGTAGTTTGATATATATAAATTACTAAAAACAAATACGAAATATGAATGAAATATTTTTTTTTGTACTCATAAATTGTGAACACTTGTGTAAATGCATCTTTTGTTTAGTCTATTCTACCCTACTGTATATTTAACCACATAATTATTATCTTTGTACAATTCTTTTTTTTCTATCCGATCCAGGGAGCTCCTGGCACACCAGGTGAGGATATATATGCGAGGGCCTCTGAGGAGGCATTACCTCCACAGTTATTGTTATTATGTTATTGAATAAAATATTATATAAAAAAAAAAAATTCAAAAGAAACAGAAGCGGATCAAACACGAATTTCCAAAACCCTAGAGATGAGATGAGGTGCCATAGAGGATTGAGCATTACTGCCGACCGGTCAGTCTGCCGTTTGCTCCTTGTCATGATCGAGTAATAACGGGAACAAAACTTCATATAAATGGTCGTGTACAATGAAACACAAGTTTCAAAGTATCAAATTTAAAATACAGACTTGAATTTCAAAGTAGGACAGACAACAATCCGAAAGCTGTAAATTTATATGTTGTACTATCGTTATAATATCAGAAACAAATATTAACATTTAATTTAATTTGTTCCCAAACTTTCCTATGTCACCATTATAAAACTTTTGACAAAATACTAACATTGTACACTGTATACACAAAATCCTCATTTTTCTCTAATGTAATTTATCATAATGAGATGGTTGACTTATTTGACCCAGTTCTTGGTATCCTGCATTGTCTTCCACTTTATCATAGATCTCTGTGTTAGGCTTCGTGTGGTCAGTGAACCCCTGTTGTGTGTTTTTCTTTTCTTGACATTTTCCTTTGCATGCTCCATTTCTAAAAGTCCTACATTCCAAGAAATGTTTTTATTATGTACATATTAAACTTTTATTAAATAGGGATTAATTAAATGATTTTTTAGAACTTATTTTCCCACATTCATTTTAAAGGAAAGTGAAAAAAACTTACCAGGTCAGGAGAAAAATATTCAAGGCCACACTTAAACATAGCGTGGCAACCACACCATAAAGAGATGGAGAACACTGACTGTTTGTATCACTATCTGATGATATAACTGAAATCAAAATAGAGAAAAACCATGCGTTTTCACAAAATGAATTTAATATCTAAAATAAATATTGACTGTAAAGTTTTCAGTTTCATGAAAATTGTGTTATAGAAGAACAAATGTTAAATTTTTTTACACAAATAACCATTACATTCATTGAGGACTTTGTTAACAACCTTCAACATAATAATTATAAATAACAAAAAAGTCGTAGCAACATTTACACTTCCTTTTTAGGCACCCTTCTATCTTATATCCTCACCAAATTAGCCAAGTAAATTTACGTTGTAAAGTTTCAAAAAGCTTGTGTACAATATAGTGTCCTAATCTTTTTTTAAAAATCTAATATATCCGAATTATCTTGATAAAGAAGTTGTTTTTTTTCTCTCTTGTTTAAAAGAGAGCGTGTTGAAAATATGTACGAAAATATTCGTTTGCCATTTGCCCTTTTTTATAACTGTAGATAGCAGTAAGATTCTTAATATGTGTAAAAAAAAATATGCTTGCGCAGGTATTTAATGATGATGAATTTGGGGTCTTTTGTGAAAACTTGACAAGAGGAGTTTCCCCTCCAACTGAATCTTGCTTGGGAAATTGAGTATTGCAATATTGAAGGGAAATTACCCTCAGATTTGTCAGTTAGATGAAGTTAATGTTGAATATTTTGTATCAGAGAAATAGAATAACGTTTCCCAAGATCATCTTGGGTTCACAAGGATGCAGCGAGTTTATTAAATGACAAAAGGTTATAAATAGTTTTGTTATAGGGCTGTGCCGAAGCAATTTATGTGAAACAATTCAAAATGGTAAAAATGACCGTCACGTGATCAACGAGGTCATATGATATCGGAACAAATATGTTTAGATATAGCCTAGAGAACTCTCAACATGCATTGGCCGTACATAAGTATTAAACTGAAGAATAAAACTCAAAATCGACCTTGCAATGCATTGGTACGTTTAAAACGCATTTAACGCTGTGGGAAGCCTTTACATCACTGCGTAAAATTGTGTTAACATTCAAGTTACTAGTATATCACTCTTAATATGTGCTAAATTGTTTATGTAATACCACGCGACGCAGATTGCAGAATTGGGTAAATTCTAGTTTTTCAAAAGGGTGACTGTTAAAATTTATATGCGGGAAAACTGCACACAGAATATACTTCATAAAAAATAATTTATCAAGAGGCTCAGTGGTCACATTGATCACATGAGCACTGTGGTAAGAAAAATGGGGGAACAAGTGTAGTATTGGATTGTGAAACTTTAATCCAACATTGTCGCCCAACCCTACCTCTGGGTTCATAATCTTAAAGATTTGAATATCCTTATCCTGAGGATGCTTTCACATAAATATCACCAGTCATTTTTTTTGCTGATTGGAGATTTTTTAAATGATGTATTCTATATATTCTTGTATAAAATACACATCAGAATTCTGTGGCAACAACTTTCCCCTGGGTGTTATCATTTACATAAACCTGAATCTTCATTACCTGCTAATGATTCTACCAGAGTTTTAACTTTGACTTTAACTTTATATTCTTATGTACTGTAGATTCCTAAATATACGCCAGGAATTTATTATCGCGTAATTTCATGAAAAGCACCAAACGCAGAATTAAATTATTCGCCTTTATTGTTATGGTGTTAAAACTCCTGATTATCCGTCCATTCGCGAATTCTTATTCTCGCAATTTGCTGTTGAAGACGCTATTCGCGATAAAGAAAAATACCCGTGAAAAATAAGGAATCTACAGAAAAGCTTTGCCCGTACATTGTGTTTCCACCCTACTGCTCGGGGACATGATTTGAACAAATTTGAATCTTCCCCACTTGACAATGAATCCACCCTATTTTCATCTTTCCTGGTGCATTGATTTTTTTTTTTTGCAAAAAAGATTTTCACTTATGCCATTAAGTTTTCGCTTTTTCAAAACTAACTCCCCTTTACCAAAGGATTTTCTATGCAAGTTTGGTCAAAATATGCCCAGTTATAATATTTTTGAAAAGAAGATGAAATTTGGATACGTTTTCAAAGGCAAAAATAGAAAAGACAACGTATAATGGACAGATTTCGATCAAAAAATCTGATTTAAGCCTTGGCTCAGGAGACCCCAAAAATAATTAGAGAAATAATGCATTTTGCTATTACCATAACACTGCCCTGTTATTGCGTCACAACTCTTTGGATATCCACAAGTGGCGCTACACGTCTCCTGACAATTGTATCCATAACGTCCATTTGGACATGCTTGGGAAATAATTTTCAATTAATATAATTAATTAATATTGAATTTTATTTAGAAGTCCAGCGTAGATATGTTTAGATTTAGATAGAATGAAAAACATAGTTATATTTGATCATATGTTAACTTCTACTTTTTATTTATATTTCAAAGAAATTCACATATACATGTAATATTTTATCAGAATTTTTATTATTTTTATATCTAACGTTCATAATTTCACCTAGTGTACAGTTGATCCCTTGATAACCTCTATCGCAGCCATTCAAGCATGACCCATTTACGTGATGACATTGTTCTTTATCAAGACAAACCCCGCATGACTGAGCACAGTTCTGTCCAAATTTACCACCATCACATGCTATGAAAAATAAGAAAGTTTTCATGTGTTTTCCTGTAAACCAATTTTTTTTATCCTTTAATATTTTTTGATTTAATACAAGGAATTCCAAACGCAAAATTAATCATAAAAAAGTGAAATATATTTTCATACTTTTATCACATTTCACGCCTTTCCACCCCGGTTGACATCCACTTTGACATTTCCCTGTCACTCTGTTACATCTACCAGGGACTCCACAGTTCATGTTACATGTGTCCTCACAATTGTAGTTATAACGTCCAGGAGGACATTCTAAAAAGAAATGAAAATCAGTTATGAAAATAAAAATAAAAGACTGTAGCATCACTAACTAGGCAAAAAGGTGTTTTGAGACATTCCAAAGGAATTTTACTCATTTTATAGGTGCGATTATATATGCCAATGCACAGAATATAAACAATATTAATTATATCAATGGAGTTTTCTTCAGGAAAAAGAAACACTGATTATTTATCCTAATTTTGAATTTTAGGCATTTGCTTACTTTATGTAAAAACAGTATTAAATTTAAATTGATACCATTTTATATTTTTTTTTGCTTAATTGTTTTAAAATGGTTTGTGTGAGTATTTTTGTTTTTTTAATAATCAAAACGTTCCCACCTGCAGTACATTTATCTCCCTGAAATCCTCTGTCACATCTATTAAAACACGTTCCATTCACATGGTGACATTGTTCCAAATTCAAACATAATCCACATGGGGTATGACATTTCTCACCGTACATCCGTTCATCACATTCTACAACATCAATAAAATCATTATGATAATAATAGATCTAGAACTCTCAGAGGTATTTTTGAATGAGAAAAAAGGTAGTTGAAGGGTAATTGCAAGAATCCATACAAATAAGAGATATGGTACATAAGTAAAAAAAAATGTTGTGGGAAACATTCTTCTTTGCGATTTACGATTGATTTGAACATATTTTATTGACTATACTTTACAATTGGGATTGGGCAAAAGTTCTAAAAACTTATTACGCCCTCTACGATTTACGATTATACGAGGGTGTCCAAAAAGTTCTTGGACAATGAAGTTTTTGTTAAAATAAATGGTTCTTTATTAATTAATAGTATATCAAAATACCAAGTCAGAGTGAATCTTTTTTTTTATTATTGATGGAACTAAATATTTCTTGTAAAAATCAGGGATCGCAGATAGTGTGCACGTAGGGACCAAGGTTAAAATGTCAAACTCTGATGTAAAATGTTTGGATTAAAATGATTATGTTCTATCTAAACAAGTTAAAACTTAATGAAAATTTTATGTAACACAAATAAGTAGCTTATAATCGTTTTCGTATAAATGAGGTATTGCATACTATGTAGACATTGAAAATACTAAACACAAATTGTTTCAAATATGTGTCAAAACTCGACAGAAAAAAAGGGACGTCGACATCCCGAAAGGACAGCGTTCAATAAAAACAAATATGTTTCCTCATGCTGAACAATCTCATCGCAGTTTTATTTTTTGCTGATATATATTCAAATAAAATCAACATTATTGTGAGATGAAACATGTCACTAATAAATAAATAAATTCTAATAAGGTTAAACGACGTAAGAGACAAACTATATGATAAATGAACTCAAAATTATTTTTAAAAAAATATTTAGTTTATTGATTTGAGATCAGAAGAAACGATTTTTCAACTGTGTGTACAAAATCAAAGACAATAAAAGAATTAAAGGCACATGTTATTTGCTGAAAATGGAGCTTTCTATTTATGACGTTGTTATAAATCTAGTGCAGCTTCGGACTGGGTACTGCAGTTTGTGAATAGAAAATCTTTATGTTGATGACGCTTTTAATTTCTTGGGCATTGTTTTGAAATATCAAAATTAAATAAATTATAGATTGTCAATAGCACTTGGACGTGTGGCGAAATAAAAAAAGAAATGTAGTGTGTGTACATGAACATGTGTGTAAAATAAAAATCCAAATGTCGACGTTAAAGTGTAATTAGCTTGACATCAGACTGGTCTGTGCGCACTATCCGCGACCTTTTTCATCCCTGATTTTTTAACAAAAATATTAAGAGCCATCAATAAAAATGTCATCAATCTGACTAGGTTTTTCATAGGAACAGTGGCTGGAACGTTATTGTTGACAAACCAATCGTGTAGAATCGTTCGTGTATCGTGAATGATCGTTCGTGTAACGTGTGAGATCGTTCGTGTATCAGACTCAATCGTGTGCGTTTTTAATCGTGCGAGATCGTGCGTTTAGAATCGCGTAAATTTCGTTTTGTAAGCTTTTATCGGAATGTTATTTGTAAAATAAGCATTTCCCTTGTTTGTTTTTCTTAATTTATTTGTAATTAATTAATATTAAATTTCTGCAAATAAAAATGTTGAATAATTGGCAAGTTTATCAGAAATTGAATCATTGGAAACATAAGGATAAAATTTGTAATTATAATTTAAGTCATTCCATGCTGTCATTTTTGTTCAATCGTATCCCCCTTTCTGCATATCATGATATCCAAATCAATCAAATTATACGACCCCAGACATGTACATCGTCTAATAGAACAAACAAAATCCGTTTTTTTTATTGCAGAATTACCTTAGAAATAATTATTTTTTATCTAAAATATTAAGTCTTGCATATATTTAGTTACAGAAATGTCATTTTCCATTTTTTTTTCTTCAAAGTCTATGAAATAATATTGATAATTCCTTGAAATCTTAAATAAGTATTAAGCCGTATTTCGTTTTGAAATATTGTATTCCTAAATATTTTAAACTATTTTGAGTGAAGAATCGTGCGTTTGCGTTAACAATCGTGTAAGATCGTGTAACGTGTAGAATCGTGAACGTGAAAGATCGTTCGTGTAACAGGTTTAATCGTGCGTTAATCGTGCGGAATCGTTCGTGTAACGTGATCGTTCGTGTAAGTTGTCAACAATAACGTTCCAACCACTGAAATATTTAATACACAATAGATTTACATAGAATCATTCATTTTAAGAAAAACGTCATTGTCCTCAAACTTTTTGGACAACCCTCGTACATAAAGAATATTCTGAGAAAAGGTAACTTTAAATTCTTTTTAATACGTATGCATTGGCATGAATCTCTTGTTTTCATTTTTTTTTTTGTATATTTGTATATATATATATATATATATATATATATATATATATATATATATATATATATATATATATATATATATATATATATATATATATATATATATATATATATATATATATTTATACTAATATGTTTTTTTTAAATGTTCTCACAACTTTCAAAGTATACGCTGTGGATAAAAAACTGGAAAGATTTAATACCGTTTTCACAGAAAGTCCCTTTCCATCCAGGTTGACATCCAAACTCACAGACACCAGTGAATCTGTTACAATCTCTACAGTTTGGCTTACAGATCTCATCACAATTCTTTCCATGTCTACCAAATGGACAGGCTATCAAAAAAAAAGATTATTTGTTTGAATTATAACAACTCTCGTGTTGGTATAAGATCAAAAAAAAAATAATAACTGTTAAAACGTAGTAAACTGCTAACATCCATAATAATTAAATTTAATTAAATATAAATACTTGTCTATCTTAATAAAAAAATTATTCTTTTACATTTTTGGAAATTTTGAAGGGATACTGAAGGATTTGCATAATTACTTGGAAAATGTTAGGACGGTTTTTTTAAGACATCCTTTTCTTTTAATTTTTCAGCTGCGTACAACAAGGAGATTCTTGCAAACACATATATTTTTTTTTATCATAATTTTGGAAGAAGCAGTCTAACTAATCTTAACCTTGCATGAAGTTTGATTTCTTAATACCCAGTGAAAATTACAGAGCAGTGAAAATTACAGAGAACAGTAAACAGTGAACAGGGAACAGTTAAAATTATTTTTAAAAATGATGTATTTTCAGTAAATAAATAAAACACATTCCTTACAAAAGAACCTCTAAATCTGGAATTATGAAAATTACAATTTTAAAAAAGTTCCTTTGTCTAATAAAATGATAAATGCCGAAAAATGGTTGTAAACTTGTAATTGGTTCAGCAGTGAAAATGTTGAAAATGCTCAAAGAACAACGGCGGAAAAAAAACAGATAAGAATGGGTCATGTGACCTAGAGAAACTTATTTTGATGTTTTAAGAAAATACTATCAATAATTAAGAATTTTTTAAGAGAGGAATACAAATGTTAATTGAATATCTTTATTTCAGCTTTGAGTGTATCATTAAAATGATCTGTTCATGTTTGCGATATTAGCGTGAGCTGATAAAGCATAATACTAAATAAAAATCATATTCTAGAATCGGCTTTCAGAAACACTCTGCACTAAAATAATTTTAACGAAAATTTGAGCTAATTCAATAAGATTTTTTTATTATATATCTAATAAATAGTCTTTAATAAAATACTACAAAAAATCTAGAGAATTTTAGCGTTCAATATCTTAACGTTTTATTGAACCCTGAGTTTGTATTACGATTACGAATATGCCCGAAACATTCCGAATACAAGTTTAATATCGAACGCACCGTTGTTAAGGACATTGGAAAGTCACGATTATCCGGAGAATAAATATTTTACATTGGTAAAGAAATACACACGTGCTTCCTTCAACGGGAAGAATCATCTCTACACCAAGAAAAAAGGGTGATAGTTTTGTTGTACATTTTGTTCAGGCACAGACACTTAAAAGTGGTCAACAGGCCGTTCTTTACCTTTCCCATGCTGGGAAGGACAATCAAGCGATGTGACAAATGCTGCAAACTTGAAGGTCGTGCGAATTAGGCACACTTTACATGTAGTAACTTTGTTAACAAATCTAAAAACAAATCTATGCAAATGTTTTTATGAAAAATTGTTTCCCGTATGTACATTACTGAACATAAACAGTCAGTCAGTCTTTACTATTATGAATACGAATTAGATGTTAAGGAAAGTAATTATAAAATCAAGAACAGTGTTAGTAGATCTGTGTCATGTTTCTAAATTTGCGGTTACGGTCATTATATCTAATATATATCATTGTAAATTAGGATGCAATTATGTATATAATATATAAACTTTCTGAAATGACTGGATCTTTGAAAATTTTTATTGTAAAAAATTAAGTAAGTCCTTTTCATCAACATTTTACATAAGAAATGCATTAAGAATTGTAAAAACATCGATTTGACAGAATTTATGTAGGAAGGGTGGCTTTGTGGGTTTAATGTGCTAGAATATAACATGTTAAGTACTAGTACACGTGTTCAAGAGTCAATAACAAAATATACAAAAGCAGGTAACCTTGCCAATGTCCTTAACAAAAAGTCTTCTGGTGATATTCTTCGAGCTAAATTTAAGAAAGGAAGTTGCATCTAGGTAAGATGTTTTTATTATTTACACAAAATGAAAGTTCTTATCAAAATTCCGTACGTATTAGACCCATTAAAATCTAAAAAGCAAATCGTAACGTACGGTGGGGTCATTGGAATGGTGCAATATTGAACAGGTGATATTTTGAATTCCGATATTCAAGAAATCGGAAATTTGAGGGTTTTTTTAGTTGGAATAATTATTATTAATTATGAGGAAATGTTTAATCTATATAACAATAAAGGAGTTATTGAACTTATATTGGTGGATATTGGCACTTGTTTGCTGTTTAGATGCACTCGCAAGCTCGTGTTTTTGTACAGCCATGTTCGCAGGAATCACTGGTAGCAAATAAATTTTGTAAAGGTTTATTTAAAAATTTCACTTCAATTTTTGTTCTACTTTGTGTTCAGAATTTAGTAAATATTAAACTACATGTATGATGTTTCCATGTCTAAGGTCAACGTTTCCCTTCCATTTCACGATGTGTACTCAATATCATTATTTGTATTTAGTAAAAGAAATACGATGTATAACGTTTCATGACAGAAAAAAATTAAAAACAAAAAGGATCATTGTTAAAGTGTGAAAATACAAATAATAAGCAAAGAGTTGCAATTAACCTAATTTTTTTTTTTATAATATTTAGTAAAATTTCTTCAAAAGGCAGATTTTGAAAAAAGAAAATCATGGTAGTATTAAAAAAAACATATTTTTAAGGAAGAGAGTTGACGTAATCAGCTTGTAACTTCATAAAAAGTAATTTTTCAGCTACGAACATGTTTCAAGTTATCAGAGAGTATTTCTTTTTTTCATTTATTGAATAAACATCACACAATCGGCGTTTTCTTGACTGTTTTAATATGCAAACTTTTTGTATTATTATTGTATTGCTTCAGTATACCATATAAGGCATCGTTTTTTATCGTGTAGTTATACATATACAAAAACAGTGCAGATTAAACAAAAACACAAACTTAATTCTTCCAATTATCTAGATACCTTTTCTTATTTTATAAAGAAAGCATAAACCACATCATCTGACCTTCGTCACATCTATATCCTTGGACACCAACGTCACATCCGTTTGGACAACTTCCGTTCTCGTGATTACAATGGTCCCCGTCACTACAGTTACCACAGGTTTTATTACACTCAAGACCATATGTACTGGGGTCACATTCTGAAAATTATCAAAACGTTGACCGCCATTGCACGTTAAAATCTTTAATAAGATTTCGAATGAAAGTGAATGTTTTATTTCTTTCATTTTTTTACATTTAATAATGTGAGAAAATAAAGTGAGAACTGTATTTTAAAAGGAAACTCGTATACTTTACGAAATAATATGGAACTGATGTCTACCTCATTATACATCCATTTAGAGTAACACAAGTATTTAGTACAAGTTTAGAATTCAATTTAAAAATACGAGGGGTGATCAAATATTTTGCGATCTATCTCTATTTCTACAAAACCACAATTCAGATAAGAAAAAAATGGTACACACATATCCATAGACATGTATTATAAATTAGATACACCTTGAATAAACGTTTCTCCCGAAACAGAAGATTTGGGTTTTGATGGTCACCATGCTTATTTTTGGGAAGGATATTTTAATCCATTCATTCTGTTGCCGAGTTTTAACTATTTCTGACAAGTGAACTGTTCTTGTTATAAAAATTTTCTTACATAGAAAGAAACATAAAACTCAGCAAAAAACTGCTTATGACAGAACGCTAAGAAGGGGGTCACGTGACCGCAAATCTCACGTGGTTAGCGCATGAGCAGAACGGTGGCAGATGAGCATAAACGTGGGGAAATGAAATGTTATTATTTTAAGTTCAGTTAAATAATTCCCAAATGATAACATGTATAAAATCTTGAGTAAATATTTTAAAAACTTTTTTTTTTAAGTTTTAATCGTTGTTATTTTGTTTCAATTTCATTATCATTTGGCATCAGATAATTGATGATTTATAGTTAAATAAAAAGAGTTAACAATAGGTACTCCCCTTCCTGGGAGTGTGTAAGATACGAAAGAATATCGTCATGATTTTCCGGATAATAATGACGTGCCCTTGGAAAAAGTGCATGTTGAATAAAAAATCGAAAAGTTGCTCAACCAGTAAAAACTTGTTTGAAAATCCTACAGCTGCGAATGATATAAAGATTATTTTTATACATTTTTCACCGCACCATGCAGCATAGCCTACTCTGTAGAAACATTATCACGGGACAAAAATACTGGGTATCAGCACGTGGTTTATCTTAAAATACCAAAATCTTAATTTTGATGACAATAATTTATCATTGACTTTTTTGTTACATCGATAAATCCATTGGATGAGCAATTGCACTAAATTTTTTAGTTTAAAAAATATTTTTGAACAGCATGCATAATCTAAAATTTCTATTGAATTTCTAAAAAAATTATTTATTCATTTGGCTTCTAAAACGGCCTGAAATAAAAATGATCACTATTTCAGATTAAAATATCCCGAGCTTTTCTTGCATGCAGGAATGCTTTAAATTGTGAACGTACTTTTTTGACATGCTAAATACTTTAGCGGCCGATTTGATGCTTTGCATCAATTTTCTTGTGTAAAATATTATCAACACTGAAAACAAATAATGTTTCTTTTACGGAAGTTATCCAATTATTTCGCAAAGTTTTTGATCCCCCCACCCTCGTATATTCATATTTACTTTTCATTCGTCATCCCATGAACTCTCTCTCTCTCTCTTTCTTTCTCTCTCTCTCTCTTAATATTTGTATAGTATTCATATTGATTTAAATATATCTAAAAAATAATTTTAATTTTTCATTTTGATCTAACTCAGTCGCTGAGCTTGTTTTCGTTATACGTTATACGACATAAAGTCAAAACATCGTTCATTCTACTCTAACATTAAACAAAATTTTAATACTGACACAACCCTTATTATTGACTCTCTCTCTCTCTCTCTCTCTCTCTCTCTCTCTCTCTCTCTCTCTCTCTCTCAGGATGGGTTGTATTAACATACGTTCTTCACATCGTGATCCTTTGTATCCAGCAACACATCCAAGACAAGTCCCGTCAACAATGTTACAATGACCCTCCTGACAATTCTGTGGACACGGTAGATCACAGTTTTCTCCGTAAACACCAGAGGTAGGGCATCCTAATTGAATATGAATAAATGAATAATTATATAATTATATTTTTTTATACAACTTCTTATGAGTTTTTCATATTTATTTACTTACGTCGTTTTGGTCTAAATCATTACTAATATAATCAAAATCCTTAAATAATGCAATTGATTCTTCTACTAGCGGCACAGTATCGAACAATGCGTGTTATTAATTTCTAGTAAACTTCAAACTATTACTAAAAAAGAAAACTTATTAGATTAAACATTCAAACGTTAAAGATTCGCATATTTTTCTGTATGTGGCAGAAATTATCAATATCATTTTACTTATATTTCACAATTTGAAAACGCTTAAATACAATTTACTATTGCCATTTTTTGGACAACGCATGAGACAATACACTGCAAAAATCAAAGATTTATTTATTAAACAGCTGTTTAACTCTGTCTGAAATGTAGTTTTTGTAACTCAAATTTAATCCCTAATCTCCAGTGATCATTTAACTGTGAAATTTATTAAGTGATTATTTTCATGAATAGATGTCTTCTTTTCAAAATGTTTGCTGTTTTATGAAATAGGGATTAGTTATAACTAATGCAACGTGGTATTATCAAGTTTGAATTGTGTTTGGCAATTAATCCTAAAATGTAACATTTATGAAGATGTTGTGTCTTCTTACCAAGAACTTGAAGTTCACAGAGCTCGTTGAATGCTGCCTGGGAAAATCCAGGACGATTGATCGACCCCCCTCTCTCGTTGTAATAAATGACATACCGTCCATGTTGTACACACTCCGTTGTAAAATTCTCCGGTATTGTGTCTCGGGTGAAGTGTGTGTCCTTAAAACATAAGAACCCGTCATCTTTGGTTGTTGTGTTCGATATGTAAACAGAAAATCCTAGGAATCGTCCTGTGTAACCATTGGTCGAATCTGTTTAAACAAGAGGCCCAGGGGCCACAGCGCTCACCTGAGCACATCAGGCTTGAATTTCCTCCCACTCCCTCCAGGCATTCATCATTTGAACAAACTAGCATCTACACTACCTGAGGATGATTCCATATAATTATATCACTAATCATAGCTTTGAAGTACTTGAAAAGAAGATTTTAAAAGGTTTCTCTATATATCCCTATGTAAAACTTGGGTCGACCCCACCCTTGCCCCGGAGGTCATGATTTGAACAAACTTGAATCTACACTACCTGAAGATGATTCCACATGAGTTTCATCTTTCCTGGCCCAGTGGTTCTGGAGAAGGATTTTTAAAGATATTTCCAATATATTCCTATGTAAAACTCGGGTCGGCCATTTTGGCCCCACCCTTGCCCCAGGGGTCATGATTTGAACAAACTTGAATCTACACTACCTGGGGATGATTTCATATGAGTTTCATCTTTCCTGGCCCAGTGGTTCTGGAGAAGGATTTTTAAAGATTTTTCTTATATATTCCTATGTAAAACTAGGGTCGGCCATTTTGGCCCCACCCTTGCCCCAGGGGTCATGATTTGAACAAATTTGAATCAACACCACCTGAGGATGATTCCACATAAGTTTCATCTTTTCTGGCCCAGTGGTTCTTGAGAAGAAGATTTTTAAAGATTTTCCTATATATTCCTATGTAAAACTTGGGTCGGCCATTTTGGCGCCACCCTTGTCCCGGGGGTCATGATTTGAACAAACTCTAATCTACACTACCTGAAGATGATTCCACATGAGTTTCATTTTTCCTGGCCCAGTGGTTCTGGAGAAGAAGATTTTTAAAGATTTTTCCTATATATATTCCTATGTAAAACTTTGGTCGGCCATTTTGGCCCCATCTTTGCCCCAGGGGTCATGATTTGAACAAACTTGAATCTACACTACCTGAGGATACTTCCACATTAGTTTCATTTTTCCTGGCCCAGTGGTTCTGGAGAAGAAGATTTTTAAAGATTTTTCCTATATATATTCCTATGTAAAACTTTGGTCGGCCATTTTGGCCCCATCTTTGCCCCGGGGGTCATGATTTGAACAAACTTGAATCTACACTACCTGAGGATACTTCCACATGAGTTTGATCCTTCCTGGCCCAGCGGTTCTGGAGAAGAAGATCTTTTTTAAAAATGCCATTAATTTTTAATAAATTCATGATGATCTCCCCTTGGAAAAGGGTGTGGCCCTTCATTTGAACAAAGTTGAATCCCCTATACCCAAGGATGCTTTGTAGCAAGTTTGGTTCAAATTGGCCCAGTGGTTCTTGAGAAAAAGATGAAAATGTGAAAAGTTTACGACGACGACGACGACAACGACAACGACAGACAACGGACAAATTTTGATCAGAAAAGCTCACTTGAGCCTTCGGCTCAGGTGAGCTAAAAATAATATTAATAATAATGTATAAGGGGATTAGGAACTTTTTTTGTTTAAACAAGACAAATACATAATTTTCCTGTTTTATATGATTTTGAAAAAATTATACATGTACTATTCTTCACGATCTAGGGGTAGACACCAACAGGCAAGTTCTACACCCTTAGAAACGAATCTCTTAGACAATGTTAGTCTTTTTCATATCAGTGCAATCTTTACTTCTTAAGGGATCAAGGTATTAATTTTGGTTGCGCCTGAATATTCAAAAATGAACATACGTTTGAAAAAACGTGTAATGTTGTGTATAAAGATATTTTTGTAAGTATTTCTTTTATATCTATTAATATTCATATGTAATTCGCTGTGGAAAAAAAAAATAATAAAAACAAGACTAAGAAATAAAAAATTCACATAAATATTAAACTCCTCTTCTTTCAATCATCGAAAATATCTTTAAACACATTTTTTTTTCAAAACATCAAGTGGATTATTCTACTTAAATAAAGATTCCAATTTGCCTTACTTAAATATGGAATGATAGTTTCATTTATCGGTTCTAGTTCAGTTATCTTCCTTATTGTTTATGTATTTTATGTATATTTACATGTTTATATAAAGATAATTCTTTGGTTATCTATTTTTTTGTATCAATTAATATTCATATATTTTAGTTCATTGTGAAGCAAAAGTGAAATAAATATGACTAAGAAATAGTAAAAGGACAAGATAGGGTAACAGCCGAATCTAGCCCCTTATTTAATATAAAAATCAGAACAGTAGTAAAATTGTGATAGTTAGTAGTTAAAATGATGCTTACTTTTTAGAAACCACTAATTTTGATTCAAAGCTTACATGGAAGCCACTAGAGGGTGCAGAAATGGGACATTTTCCCGTATTTCCTTAATTCTGGTGAAATTTTATCATATTTGGAACACTTTTCTTTTCGGAAAACACAGAGCACAAGCTTGCCTATCTGAGATTTTTACATATAAACTGCATCTAATATCACTGTATAAAATATATAAATTTGGTAGATAGGCAAGCGTGTGCTCTATGTTTTTCGAAAGAAAACATGCTGTAAAATTATTGAAAATTTGCATAAAAAGGAGATATATTGAAAATTGGCCTATTTGCTGACCTCACTGTGACCTCTGTATATATGTAATCTTAAAACCAACACTCATTTTGTGGCAGGGGTGACAACAAGTTTTTATTGATAAACTGTTAGATAATTCTGAAAGACACCCAAAACCGGGGGCCAAATACTGATCTTAACCTACCTTGTCCTTTGCAACACTGGTTTATATATTTCTTTTATATTGGGTTTGAGATTTATATTTCACTTGTATTGGTTTTTCAATGACTTCCTAAAAGCGAACTACAATTCATCAAAAACATTGATAATTTGATTTACTATGAAAATTATGTTCCCCAAACGGAGTTTGGGAACATATTGTTTTTACTCGGTTTCTTATTATTATTATTATTAAGGTCTTCCGTCTTCACGGAAGACCTTATAGTGATTCTATTGTTTCTTATTATTAAGGTCTTCCGTCTTCACGGAAGACCTTATAGTGATTCTATTGTTTCTTATTATTATTATTATTCTTTTTTTGACAAAATTTTGTGGACGCGATTTCTCGAAAACTATTCAGCGGTTTTCAACGAAACTTTCACAAAAAATGCGTCATTACATGAAGTTGTGCA